ACCAAACAAACCCCCAGGACACACCACCAACACCCAACCCCCCCCCCCACGAACAAAAAAGCCACAACAAAAAAAAAGACACACAAAAAGAAAAACAAAAAAAAAAAAAAAAAAAAAAAAAAAAAAAAAAAAAAAAAAAAAACCGGGGGAAAAAAACCGGACCCCCCCAGGGGGCCAGCCAAAAAAAAAGGGGGGGGGGGGGGGGGGGGCGAGCGTCGGGAAAAAGGCGTCTATGCGTCCACCAGTCACGCTCAATCGTCAAAAACAACGTGATTTGTAGTACAGGAGAGCAACCCTCATGCGGCCTCGGTGGCGCTGCGCCGAACGCGAACAGACAACATCTACACTTTGCATCCGAGAGCACCAAACCTCCAGCCAAGCTTGAGTAGAAATGTGGTATTTCATAGCTCAAGACACAGGCCAACCCTACAAGCAACCTCCATCTCTTTTCTGAAGGCCGAGAGAGACAGAGGCGGAGGCAACGGCCGTGTTGGGCAGACCCCGCACCAAGGTATATCAAGAGCGGGCACGTTCGAATCCCACGGGACAAGGCGGGAGAGAGGGTATCTGCGACGTGATGGTCGTCTCCCTCTCTTTCCCTCTCCCGGCCTCGTCATTACACAACCGCGCACAACTCCTTGGTACCCACGTGCAAGCTGGAATTTTCGTAAAGGGTCTCGAAGCACATTTGCAAACTTCGCTCGCGGTTTGGTCACCCCCGACGAAAAGTCCCCCTCTCCTTCAGGAAAAATTCCATGAGCATGAGCACAACCCTCTCTGCCCGGTGGTCACACTGGCTACACTCCTTCTTTACTCTCCAACCGCCGCCGCCATTGGTGACGGGGGTAATGGCAAGTGCAACCACGCACCGTTCGACGGACGGACAACTACCAAAACAAAGCATGACATGGCCTGATCTCAACCACCACCATCATCACCACCACGACATCCTATTACGGGCGGGCTAGCACGCGCCTCCTGAGTTTTGATTTGTTGATCTCCGTTGTTTTGTATGGGCAAATCTTCCGCAACCGCCCTGTGCCGGTTGTGGCTGGCTGGCCATTGCGCTCGTAAAAAAGATCATGATCTCATCTCCGGCAGTAACGCTGACAGCAAGCAGGTCCCTATTGGAAAAAGCCCACCGCAGTACAAAGCAGTTAATACGTGCTTGACCAACAACTGCACCGGAAGCACGAACCATGAGTAGTACTGGTAGTCTACACTGCTGCACCTCATCCGCGGTGACCTTGGAGAGCTCCTCGATGCCGCCGACAAGGGCCAAGGCGGCCTCAATCCCCTTGTTGCTCGGCTTCACCGCCAGCGGGAGCTCGACCGTGGCGAGGTTGGGTATCCGGAGATCCTCGGAGATGGTCACGGCCAGTTCGTCGTCCTTGAGATCTTCCATCCTTGGAGCCTCTGCTGCTATGCTGGCGCCTGAGCCGGCCAAGCAGCTGTGTCGGGCGCACTGCTGTGTACGGCCGGTGTACGCGGCACGCGGATAAGATTAATGTATACCTGCATTACGATACGTTTCGCCGGCCCCCTCTCGCCGAGCCGAACCGCTGCCTGCTGCCCGCGGTCAGCCACAGGACAGCGCCAAAAGAAGGGCGAAATAGAGAGAGAGGGAGAGAGGTAATCACACCGGCAGCTTTAGAGTGCGGCGCGCCTGCGCGGATACGCCTCCAGTGTTTTTTTTTTATCAACACAATCAGGCTTTGACAACCCCCGGAAGAGACATGACTTCGGAAGGAGGAGAAGTTTCCCTGTCGAACGTCGGGGAGCTAAGGGTGGTCGACCTCAAAGAGGAGCTCAAGAGCAGGGGCTTGGCCACCGATGGCAAGAAGGTGATCGTTATGTTCTCCCACGTCATTACTTTTGGAGAAGCACCTACGCGCGATTCGAACATCACAGAGGGCAGCGCGAGCATTTGATTGTCCCTTGTCGGTGCCTCTCGCTGACGGGGGGCTAGTGGATCACGACAGATAGGACGGGCAAATGAGGGCGGGACTGGTTGACCACATGAAGGATAAACATCAGAGCTACCAAAAAAATGGTAGTGCGAGGCCTCTCGTTATCCTAGCGAATTCGTTGGTCAGCAGCAAAGCCAGTGGCCTCTCTTGGCTCTCCTGCATCCGTCCGTTTGTCCGTCCGTCCCACGTCACAGCAGTCCGATTGAAACATGCCGCCGCCAACATCACACAGGGCTGTCCGGTGGTGTCTGTCGTGTGCGATATCTGCCTCAGATGTGCCGTCTACATATATACACGTGCACACGCGTGCCCCTTGGGGCAACCGACTGGTGTGGATTGGATTTGTTTGACCCTGACCTCGGCACTCGGCACATGGGCGTGCCGCTGTGCCGCTGTGCCGCTGTGGATGACGCAAGTTAACACCCCGTCGACCGTTTTCAAAGCTCGAGTAATTACGCGAAGAGAACGAATGAAATCAATCGATATGCATCAGAAATCTCTCGACGAGACGGTCCCAACGCAGCCGTTTTCCGCATCACCTCTCGTTCTTCAGTGGAGTAATGGAGCTAAGAAAATCGGTCCGGGGGGGTGGGGGGGGGGGGGGGGTGATATCTTACGTTACCTTCCGTAATTCTTTGGGAAGAGTCCGCCGTGAAGAAGAACTCGCGATCCACCTCGATCCCTGCATTCGTCACAACGTGCATGTCGTGATCGCTGAACCCTTACCCTGCCCTTTCCGCTTTTTCTGCATGTTTTTTTTTTTTTGTGGAACATCCGCTACATACGCTGTGCACGTGAAGGCGGTTTTGCTGGAGAGGTTGACGGAAGCGCTTGGATCGCCTACCACAGCAGCGCCGACAGAGGACGCCAGCCAGGTCGGAGCAGCCGTAACGGAGGGCGATCTAGCTCAGGAGGTGGGCGAGCCGACCGAAAACGGCGAGGCCGACGGTGGAGCGGCGGGCTCCTCGGGAGAGGGTGACCGGGATGCAGCCGCAAACGGCAATGGTGCTGCCAGTGGCGACAGCAGCAGCAACGGCAACGGCGGCGCAGCCGTCGTCGCGGCAGAGGCTGCGACCGAGGCTGCTGCGGAGGGTGCGACCGGGGGCAGCGAAAGCGGTGGCCTGGAGGCCATGGACGTACAGCCTCAGGAGAAGGAAGATGCTAACGACGAGACAGGAGATCTCGCCGCCTTTGTGTCTAGCATGGAGGACGGCGGGGAAGCAGCCGAGAGTGCCGTTGCTGCGGAGTCGGGATCAACGCCAACAACGGAAGCAGACGCTGCCAGGTCCGCGGCCGCAGCGGAGGCAGCGGAGGCGGAGGCGGCAGCGGCAGCAGCCGTAGACGCCTTGATCCCCACCGCTGGCGCAACAGCAGCTCCGGAAGACTCGCCGGAAGCGACAGGGGCACCGCCAGCTGAGGCACCGACTGCGGAAGCAGCTGAATCAACCCCCGCTCCAACTCCCTCTGCTGCGGCTGAATCAAGTACCTCTGCTGATGTTGCCAAGAAGACTGCTTCGCAGTTTAGCTTCGTGCCGGCCGCCATCGAGACCCCCACGGCCCGCGCGCCGCCCGCCTCGGAAGACACTTACGCCTACGAAGAGGAGCAGGTATTAACCTTAACCTTTACCATAACCTTTACCTTCGTAGTATATTAGGAAACATTAAATACAAACACAGAAAGACTACCCATTCGAGATAAGACTACATAGAAGAATGTGTTTTCCGCTGCTGTAGGCAGTAGGCGAGTACGGACTCTCGATCCTCAGGCCAGCATTTGTTGGTGGATTCGTTTTCCGATTTGGAATGCCAGGGATCGACAGAAAATGCTCAACCACCCCCAAACGGCAGGAGTTTTTGCGTAGTGGAAAGGAAACAGAGAGCTCCAAGGCACTTCGTCACTTGGTTCTCGCCTCACATATCTCAGTTCGTTTTCAAACCGTCAAGGCTGTACACTCCACTTCTGTGAGCTTCTCGGAGCCAAGTTTGGGCAGCTAGCGTGTGCGCAGAGTATGCCTCGGATGTGAAAGCAAATTCACCATTTTCAGTTTGGAATGCATGGGCAATGCCAACCAGGATCGTCCAAAATTTCCCAAATGAAATTCCTATTCTACCAAGCGTGATGAACACACACTGCACCGCAGCTCCCCAAACTTGGCTCGAAGGGGCTCACAGCAATGCACTGTGTGGCCTCGAAGTTTTTTTGATTGCAAACGGGTTTCTGTGAGGCGAGTTCTGAGTGCCAAAGCGCGTTTGTATGCTTTTCCAACGAATTGCGCAGAACTCCTTTCGCCTCTGCGGGTTTGGGTGTAAAAAGGCGTAAAATCGGGATTCCAAATATCGAAAATTCTGCGCAACAACTGGCCTTTCGCTCACAGATGGTGCTTCACGTCAAAATGCCGTGGTGAATATGCAAACAAAACCAAACAATCAAATGAAGGCACGCACCGCGGGAACAAGTGCAGTCACTCCGTTTTCCTTCCTACTTTGATCCTGCTGGTGTAGACTGGCGCATTCGTGGTGTCGTTCGATCGCCATTGTTTTATTCTACGGGTGTGCTCGTGGCCTGTTTCTTGATCTTTGTTCCACATCCGGAATCAACTACGGCAAGAGTCCAGTCAACATGATCTTGTACTGCAATATTGCGACGAATAACGTTGGCCGCATTCCTACCCCACTCTAGTGTACGTATGTCCGGAGCATTTTCCACATCAAGGCCTCGGAATCGTGTGTGATATCTAGAACGAGTGCGGGCGTGGCAGAAGACAGATAATCAACAGCAGTGTGCTGTGTTCGAGCATTCCGATGGTCTTCCTGTTCGCCAAGATGATGTCTGGTTTCACGAAGAGGATTCATAATCAATAATGAGGCCAGCTGATCGATACACACTCTGACGGTTCACAATGATGGTTTGTCTCGACCGGCTTTGTGAACCCGCTCGACCAGGAACGCCTCACTATGCTGAAGAACCTGCACCAGCCCATGCGGAAGTGGTTCAACAAGGATGGCGGAGCCGCAATGCGAGAACGTTACGGGAATTTTCCCATGTTCTGGCAGGTGAGGGTGTCGGTTTCTCGTTGCCGGAAGGGAGTCGATCGCAATGTTGCCGTCGTTGTCGTCGTCGTCGTCTTTTTGTTTGCTCGAGCGTTATGCGTGCTTTGCCCTGCAGGTTGGTTCACCCGGGTAACGAGAATGCGGCGAATCCAATTGTTGACATCCGAACTCGGTTCAAGTCCTGTCCTCTTGAGGCTGCTGGCGCCCAGAATTGATAATAGGACGAAACACACACACAAACACTCACACATGTGAAAGCGACCCACGTTAAGTCGTTACCGTTGAACGAAAGGGAACGACAAGCAGTGACGATTTGTTTTCACTTGGGTCTTGGACCAACCTGTTCGCCTGCCCGTGTCGATCCTCGCAAGAATACGTTGATAGCCATGCATATTTCATGTTTCCCCGAGTACCCGAAAGTGCAGGCAGTGTCAGTCGTGGGCCCCCTGTAGTTAGGGTATCTGCCGGGCCAATTCAGCCTCTGCCTATGGCGGGCACACGCCGTATAGCGCGAACACCCCTTACCCGAAGTGGCCGAGCATGAAACAACGACGTTGTCGTTCTGTCTGTGCGGAGAGATTCCACCCGCCTCACGTGTACCGACCACCTGCCCACGCCATAGAGAAGGCCCACGACAAACTCTGTACGTCGTTGCGCGCGGGACGTGCAGCAACTCGTTTCTCGGCCTTCTGCTGATGTCTCATTTCTGCCTGTCGAACGTTTTAGGACCTCGCGTCCTGGCCGGCGATGCGGGAGCTCAAGAAGCTCTACCTCATGGAGGTGGAGCGGGGGGAAAACCCAGCGCCCGCCGCCGCACCCACAGCCGACGATGCCGCCGCCTCCGAAGACACCGCTGCTGATGCGGCTACTACCCCCGCCGCCGCCAGTGCTTCCGATAGCGCCGCCGCTGGTGCTGCTAGCGCTGACGGAGCCGCTTCCGGTGCCGGGGACGCCCCGGCCGCGGCGGCCAATGGGGCTACGGAGGGTGCGGCGGCGACGGCGGAGGCGGGGGCCGCAGGGGAGGAGGGGAACAAGAAGAAGAGGAAGAAGAGGTGGGGAGATGTGCGCAAGAACAGGTTCGCGAGCAAGAACGACGATGAGGCGGAGAGCGCCCCTCCTCCCAACAAGCGAAAATCGAGGTGGGTGTGGATTCCCCCCGCTTTTGCGTTTTTTGATGTCTCCCTTGTTTGTTTTGGTGCTGGTACTTGCCATCTTCGCTGCTGGTGTTGTGGTTGTCCTGGCCACGACATACCGTAGGGTTGCATGAGATGCCACACCAACTGAAGCGATTTTCAAAGCTGCTGGAGTACATCGCATCAGTATCAACGACGGTGCCGACATGGCGGGAGACGTTTGAATCGTCTCGTAGAGAGCTTACCGAAATGGTATCAGTTTGATTGCGGCACCCTCTTGGTCGTGGCTGCCCTCTGAATCTAGTGCTTGTAACTTCTGTACCCCTTCGACCTCCTCTTAGATATCTAATTAGGTCGCTCGTCCTGTGCAAACTTGACCCTCACTACTTCAACTTGGAAATCACTTGACGATACCCTAAACAACCCTGATTGCATCACACGACACAGGTGGAGTTCCGAAGGAGACGCGCAGGCCGTGGCTTTGCCGGGGGCAGGGGTATCGAAGAACATTCCCGGCATGCCCGTCAACTTGACCCAGGAGCAGATCCAAGAGAATCTGGTGTTGCACATGAGACTGCAGCAGGTGAGCCGTCGCAGCTGCCGCCGCCGCCGCCGTTGTTGTTGTACGGGTAACAACTTTTGGGTTCTCGCAGCAGCACTGCTACTTGCACGATTAACACACCGGAACCACGTTGCGGCGTCGACGGTACTGTGATACAGAGACGGCTTGAGTACAATACACGTATCCGTGTCATTGTTTTTTCACCGGCGCTACAGCGGGTAAACCGGTACTGCGCAACCGCGGCCACCGGATCAATGTTTTTGGTATGCCTTGGTAATTCCCACACAGTACAGTACGAGGCGGACCGTCAATTGATGGTTTTGTTGAAGGTACGGTATTCCCTCTTTGTCTCGTGTCAAGGTCCTACTACTTACTCTTTGAGTCCGCTTGACAACACGCTTGTGCCCATCCTATTCGCCTACAACAGACCGCTCCCCTAGAGTTCCCCATGGACCACCCCCTTCCCCCGACCACCCGACGTGGTACGGTGGAAACTGTCGTTCGATAGTCATGCTGAGTACATTCCTCACAACAGCCCTTCATGCTGCACTTTCGTCCGTCGCACACACCCCTGGGTTTTGTATGAAAAAAGGCGAACGAAAAGCTTGCTACGGTGGAACAGGACGCCATCGCCCGAAGCACGGACCCGGACAGATCTCCGTCCCCCCCTCCCCGCTACGACGCGAACGGTGTTCGAACCAACAACCGCAACGTGCGCATGAGGGCGAGCCTCAACAGGGAGCGGAGTGAGTTGTTAGTTGCCAGGTTTTGTTATTTTTTGCTCCACAAGAGAGACCATAGGAGGGAGAGATGGCGACAGACAGATAGACACACCCAGAGAGAGAGAGAGAGAGGGAGAGAGAGAGAGAGAGAGCCAGAACGACGGCAGCTAGTGTAGTCCCCGGGCTAAACGTTGCGTTGCTTCAGAAACCGACGAATGCCTAAAGAACAACCCGCAGCCGCCAGAGAGAGAGAGAGAGAGAGAGAGGCAGAGCCTACATACACAAGGGTGGTGAGGATATTTGGCCTTGTTTGCAAACACCGTAGTATGGTTGGACACGCCGGGGCGCAAATGTTGTCGTGGGCCAATGGTTGTGTACAAGGAGCCGCGCCAGAAGTTGTTCGTGTTTTTGGCGAGAAGAGGTCAAAATAAGGAGCCTCAAGTCAGGTCATGCAAGCAAAGGTTGAGCTTGGAAAGAATGCGAAGTCGTTGCTTTTGTTCACTGCATTGTATGTATGCATGGCATGTCAGCAGTGTCAGAGTCTCACGAGGAGCTTCGCGGTGTCCCCATCTGATCTGGCTACTGCTTGAATCTCCGTCTCCCCGTTCGGTACTATCCGATATCGAGCCCTCTCTGGCTCATGGTTGTAGGGCCTTCCGCTGCTTACACTCGCACACGTCCCCTTCGCTCCCCTGATATACCGCCTTCCAGCCAAGGTCATCGAGGAGATGATGAAGCTCAACCCCATGTTCAAGCCTCCGGCGGACTTTGTGAAGACCAAGCCTCACCGGAAGCTGTATATCCCTACCGACGAGTACCCGGGCTACAACTTCATCGGCAAGTGTACCGCAGCAGTTGGTGTCTGTTGTTGCTGCTGGTCTTCGGGGGATATTTTGTTGCTGTTGCCTCTGCTGTTGCTCATATATTCATTTTCCCCGCCACACAAATGTGTGATTATCATCAGGAGATCCCTCGTGCTTGAATGTCTTCTATCGGCGTTCACACGCCTGTGAGGAGTGTTTGACATTTTGAGTGATGTTCGTTCACCTTTCCGTTTCATCGGCCATGATCTAGGCCTTTCATTCATCGGGTCTCGTAGCGGCACCTGGCCTGTAGGCTCTTTTTATGCACTCTTTCAATGGTGACTTGTTGCAGAGTCTATTGTAGCATTTTCCAGCAATGGTGACAACACACCTCTAGCTGCCGGTCTCCATGGTTCTCAGGTCTCACCGTCGGGCCTCACGGTACAGCACCACTCACAATGGCATGATTCGAAATGCACACCGAGACAAACCGTTCTGCAGCCCACCGTCAACGAGTCACCGTCATGATTTCACATTCTCGCTGCGATTACTTTTCTAAGTTGACCCATCATTTTTATTGTTATCTTGGTGATTGGTCCAGGTCTCATCATCGGACCTCGGGGCAACACCCAGAAACGCATGGAGCGAGAAACGGACTGCAAGATCGCTATCCGAGGCAAGGGTTCCGTCAAGGAGGGGGCTCGCCGCGGTCCAATGGCCATCGACGAGGATGACGAGCTGCACGTCTACGTCTCGGGCGAAACCGAAGAGGCCGTCGAGAAGGTACGGGTGGAGGCGTTGATGCTTGTATCTCGCAGTGAAACCGCTATGCAGCCGGAAAGGTACATGTGGAGGCGTCATTGCTGGGGGTGATCTCTTGCATGAAACCGAAGAAGCCGTCGGTATAACAGGTTACGTGTGGAGGTGTTGTTGTCGTTGTATCTCTTCGTGGAGCCGGTTGTTTAGGCAGTCGGGAAGGTAGACACGGAGGCGTCGTTGTTTTTGATCTCTGGTAGTGATCCTGATATTGGCAGACGAGGAGGTACCTACGGAGGGAAGGGTTGCTGCTGTTGGTAACGCTGGCGTGGTGTTGTCGGTGATGTTCCCGCTGCTGCACGATGACCAGTCACTACTGGAGCAGAAACAGTAATCAGTGTGATTGTCGGGCATGATGACATGACGATATTATGATGAAATGATGATGATATCGTCCGTGCGGAGAACAAGTTTAAGTTCCAACCAATCAATGGGGTTGTTGGAGGAGGCAATTGCTGGGTGTCGACCTGGTCGACCTGAGCATGCTGTGTCGCATCGGTCCTGGCTAGAGCGGGCCGGATTGATAATGTCGCACGTTGTGCGTGTCGCTGTCTTTGCAGGGATTTACTTGATTGTTTTTTTGCTTGCCATCTCGTTTTTGTTCTTTTGTTCAGGCGGCGAAGGAGGTTGGGAAGCTTCTCCGACCGCTGGATGATGAGCAGAACGAGCACAAGCAGAAGCAGCTCCGAGAGCTCGCTCTCATCAACGGCACTCTCAGGTTGGTTGGTCCGTTACGACGCGTTGGTTTTGTTGGTGTTGTTGTTGGTGTGAACGCGGCCTAATGCGTTTTGTAGATGTTTTTGTATCTTTTAAAGATTGTTTTTGGTCCACTAGGTGATTATTCTTGGGATGCGCTGCTGGGTCGGTTAGCTCGTAGCTGCAAGTGCTTCGCTATTCATCCTCACGTATGCGGTATCCATGCGTGCTTCTGCTGCCCATCCCCGTAGGCAAAACATCTCCTAACCTCTGTTGCGACATCTAACCTTCGTTTCCGCACACTGCTATTTACCTATCACACGGCCGGGAACAACAACTACGCCAATGTTAGGGAGGAAGACTACTGCAACATCTGCGGAGAGAAGGGGCATCGCCAATTCGAGTGCCCCAAGCGCGCCCAGACCCGCTCGGCGACCGTTGAGGTGCGGTGCGCCCTGTGCGGAGACACTTCCCACCCTACCCGAGACTGCTTGCTCCACAAGTCCAAGGCCCAGGGGCAGCCGGGCCACGAAGCCTCCCTGGACAAGGAGTATATGAGCTTCATGGCAGAGCTGGGAGACGGCGGCGGTGGCGGTGGCGGGGCCACCGGCGCGGCGTCGGCTCCGCAGACCGGCCCCCGCCCCACTCCAACCTCTTCCGCCGCAGCCGGCGGTGGCGGTGGTGCCAGTGGCAAAGCCGGGTTTGTCAGTTCGGGTGGCCCGAAGGCAAACCACTATGTTTGGACGCCGCCGACCGCCCCCGCGGCGGCGCCGGCCGCGACGCCCGCCTCCGGTTCGGGCGGCGGAGGCGGAGGCGGAGCGGCGGCGGCGGCGGCAGCGGCGGCGGCGGGTAAGCCTCCACCCATCGTCACACACCACACGTGGACACCGCCCACACCCGGGAAGCAGCCGACACACAGCAGCAGCAACGGAGGCTATCAGGCGGCGCCGCCGCTACGGCAGCACCGGTCTCCGTTCTCCACGAAGCCCCCGGCTGGAGGTAGCGCTGGCGCTGCGGACGGCGCTCCGCTGCTTCCACCCCCGCCGCAACCCCCCATGGCGCCCCCGGTGCCGCCCAGCGGGATTATGCCCCCCCCGCCGCTGCCGCCGCTGCCGCCGGTTCCGCCCACCCCTCCGTCGTCGGGGAGTTCGACCAAAAGCAGCAACGGTGGGATGCCAGCACCCCCGATGGCTCCCCCCTCCGCCACCTCCGCCGCAGCCCCCGGCACGGGCGCGTATAGCTTTGTGCCCCCCCCGCTGCCGACGCCTGCTCCGACACAAGGAATGTACAGTCAGCAGCCCCCCCCACCGTTGCCCCCGGTAGTGGGCGGATATGGTGGCTATCCGCCGGTCCCCCCGGTCCCGCCGGTGCCACCGTTGCCGCCGACGGCGCCGTGGTCGGGAGCGGCGCCGCCGCTGCCTCCTTCCTCGTCGGATCCTAGTGGTGAGTCTGCCGCTTCGTACACTACAGTAGAGGGGCCCGGAGATACGACGAGAAGAGCAGAGTTAAATTGTTCGGGTCGGGACTATTTTCTTGTTTTGGCCACATCCGTCGAGTTCGTTGTACTGCGTATCAATAAGATCCTGGGCTGAACTCGCTATAATAGCTGTGTGTCTTTAAGGTCGGGTTTATTTTGTTTTTCGTCAATTATTTGAGCCCTCTACGGTATATTCTTATCTCCAGGCCCGCACTGTACTTATTGCCGCTAAGGTAGCCGCCGAGCACGTCACGTAGCGGGGGTTGGGTGCGCCTCGGCGGTGCACGAATACAGGCCGAGCTGTATTCTGTCTGCGCTTGTTGTCATGCGTTCTGTTGGATCGTTAGTGGCTGCTGCACTTCTGGTTGCTGCCTGCGGAGGCGTTTTTCTTAGTTTCTCCACGGCGAGGCTTTGCGCTACGGTAGTCTTTGCTGTGTCTCGCTGTCGCTACTTAGAGCCGCTGGACACGCCCGGCTACGTCACATCCACATCCCCTGATGCTTACGCCATTTCATTTCTGCCCCCCAAAACGCCTGACTCCGATCGTGTGTCTGACCTTGATACAAGTGTCTTGCGTCATCAACAATGCGACTTCTAAACGCGGCACATCTACTGATCTCCTCCCTCGCACAAATTCCCCTCGCTCACTCGCAGGATACGTCCCCCCGCCCCTGCCCCCAAGCATGCCCGGGGCTCCCCCTACGTGGCCCCCTAGCCTGCCCCCACCGGGATTCCAACCCCCACTCCCGGAGGCTGACGCTAATACAAGCAAGAGCAACGATAACGGCGGACATTTTGCAGGTGGCGGGGCCCCTCCGCTGCCGCCCCCTTTGCCGGGACAGCCGCCTCTCCCTCCGGTACGACGCAGATGATTCTATTTAGGGACTTTTCTATTGTACTCGGCGATCATGATTTCTTGTCTCTCGTGGGGGCGTTTGTTTTTCATCTCTTGTTTTTTCAAAATAATTTGGGTCCAAAATTTAACATCGCGCAACTTTTTGCCGTATCAATGCAGCAAGTTTTTTGTGTATGCGTGTAACCCCGCGTCATTTTACCGGTTTCGTGGTTATCGATTCTGTTTTTTTTCTGCACGCTTCTTTCGTGTTTTGAAAACGTTGCCTTGTTACTGTTGGTTCTTTCTCACCCTCACCCTACCGTATATTTTGTACATTGATTCACCGGCGGTCCTGACCTCGGGCATGCTCTGACGCCCCCGGCGACAGCATCGGGCTAACGAACCCATCGGTCTAACAAGCAAGCTTGCGCTGCAAGAGAGTCATCGCTGCCTTCGTGCTCCCGCTTCTGCTATGTGCATGTACCTCACACGCGAATATGCCTGCACGCCACGCGCAACCACAGGCAACAATGGGTCGGTCGGTGTGTCCGATGGTCCGCGTGGCTGGCTAGGATAGCCGACGCGTACGCGTCCGAGAGGACCTCGGGCTGGAGCTAACGCTTGCCCCCCCCCTCCCCCCCCCCCCCCCTGCTTTTTAAAAATTTCTTCCAAAACCCCCCCCAAACCAACCCCCTTTTATTTCCCCCCCGCCCCCCCCCCCCCTTATTTAATTCAAATTTT